TTCTTCTTCTTCTTCTTTATTATTTCTCTCAGAAGTATCTTCTGCTATATCTTTCCCTTCTTTTCCATCCTCTGTGTCATTATTTACATCTATTTCTTCATGATTTACATCTTCGTCATTATTGGCATCTTCTACATCACTATGAACCAGAACAAGTGTTTCTGGTGCCTTGCATCTATCGTGCTTTTCTAATTCCTTCTCTAACTTAGAAGATCCGATATCATTTTCTTCAATCTCAACTTTCAAGCTAATGTAACCGTCTCTATTATGATCCCAAAGCACACCTGATCTTGATACCAAGTTTAAGTCCATATTAATAGATACCTGGGACGTTACATCCACAGTTTGAACTATGAACTTATGTTTTGATGATTTTTTTTGTAAATTTAATAATAGGTAGTTGATAAGCTGCTCAGAGTCAAGTAGTTCCTCATCGAACCTTTTCGTTAGTTCGATTAATCCATGCTCTGTAATAGGCGATTCCTTTGAAAGCTCTGACGCGGTAATTGAAACTTCTGATATAGTCATTGATTTCTCCCACAACGGCTCAATCCTTTGATGTTTATGTTCCGTTCTATTTTTTTCAGTATTCAAATTTGTCGCGCACTAGAGAATATGTTGACATATGGACTCTTTTTATCCAAAGGTATCACACAGTAGAGATGAACTTGTTCAGGAGGAAAGAAAAAGATTCCACGACATCGTCGGTAACCTCTTTAGTGGATTCTGAGTCTGTTTCTTCTAAAGGCACTTCTACAAGTGCGAGCAGTTCAGGAACGAAAAGAGGCTTAATTAAGCGTCACATTCCTTTCGACCTACCAGTTAATCCCATCACTGCTCCTCTGTTTGATTTGGATGAAGAACAGCAAGAGAAGTATGATACAATATTAAGCTATTTTCAGAACTACATTAAAAAGGAATTACCAATTAATGACCTGCCAGATGCTCCCCTTCATAGTTTAATTGATGATGAGCTTGCATGGCTAACTAAAGAATGCTTTTTGCGATATTTAAGAGCTACCAAGTGGAAGGTCGACTCAGCTATAAAACGTATTGAAGATACAATCCTCTGGAGAAGAACATTTGGTGTTGTCGTGATACCTGGACATACAGACCCTAGCAAGATTATAACACCCGATTTGGTATCCAAGGAGAATGAGACTGGGAAACAGCTAATAATGGGATTTGACCATGATAATAGGCCATGTTTGTACTTGAGGAATGGATATCAGAATACACCTCCTTCGATTAAGCAAGTACAACATTTGGTTTTTATGCTAGAGAGAGTCATTCAATTCATGCCTCCTGGACAAGATACCTTGGCACTATTGATTGATTTCAAAGCGGCCCCGGAAGACATGAAACTTTCCGCAAAATTTCCGTCCTTATCAATTTCGAAGCAAGTTTTGCATATTCTTCAAAACCACTATCCTGAAAGATTAGGCAGGGGCCTATTTACTAACATTCCATGGATCGGTTATACCTTTTTCAAACTCGTCGGTCCATTCATTGATCCATATACCAGGCTGAAAACAATATATGATCAACCCTTTGGAAACTACGTTCCGAAGCAGCAATTAGATAAGGAGTTCAATGGCATTATAGATTTTGAGTATATTCATGATGTGTATTGGCCAGAAATGAATAAGATGGGTGAAGAAAAGTATGAAATTTATTTGCAAAATTTTCACAAGCTAGGAAGTAAAATTGGTTTAAGTGAGTTTGATTTGAGACGAACTGCTTAAACGACGAATTTGTCACAATATGATATAATTAGCTTTTTCGTTTTTTGGGGACCAATGTCGCAATAATTATTGAATTTTGACTCGTCTTGGGCTCTTGTGGCTGAATTTACTATCAGGTGAATTCGTGGGTCTTTTTGAAAGACTTGTAGATTTCTGCAAAAATATACATATATATATAAATTCAAAAATTTTTTCATCTTTATAAACGAAAATTTTTTATTTAACAATTCACATTTGCAAACATTGCTATTTCTTTTGAAGACAAGAAAACCTGATTATATGTACGTTATTTAAGTTGCTCAGTTTTGCATCCAATTTTAATGCTTTATATGAATTATACCGGATCTTCATGCCTGTACGAGACTGTGTACTGTACTTAGTTGTAAAATGAAAAATTTAATTCATCAACAAAAGGTGATTTTTGAGAGTTCAGAAAGCATGGTACGCTATGCATTGACCATTATCTCGCGAACTAATGCGCTAGATGAAACAGCAATCAGTCAGGTTGAAAGGCTTCTCGATGAAGGGTATCCTGAGTATGAAAAAAAAAAACTCTCTCAAAGAGCGATAGATTACATTATGGATCCTAAAAACCCAGAACAATTTAATTCAGAAACAAAAAGTAAACTCAATCCAAATGAGCTAGGATGTGATCTATTTTTTCAAGTCCAAAGCATAAGGCGAACCAAAAAATTGTTTGTGTTCGACATGGACTCGACATTGATCTATCAAGAAGTTATTGAGCTTATTGCAGCATACGCCAATATTGAGAACCAAGTTGCAGTAATTACTGAAAAGGCTATGAATGGAGAGATAGATTTTAATGAATCGTTAATCGAAAGGGTTGCTTTATTGAAAGGTATTGATTCCTCCTCTATTTGGGACGAATTGAAAGTCAAGATTAGAATCACCAAAGGTGCCCGAGAACTTTGTAGAGCTTTAAAAAGATTAAATGTAATAACAGCAGTTTGCTCTGGTGGCTTTATTCCTTTAGCTGATCATATAAAAAAAGAGCTTGGCCTCGATTACGCATTTGCTAATCAGCTCGGAGTCGATTCTAACAACATTTTGGATGGCACGACCGTTGGACCCATTGTGAATGGGGATAAAAAAGCTGAATTATTGCAAAAAATTGCAAAGGACCATAGCATTGACCTTTCTGACTCTGTAGCTGTTGGAGATGGAGCAAACGATTTAAAAATGATGCTCATTGCAGGATACGGCATTGCTTGGAATGCGAAACCCAAAGTGCAACAGTTAGCCCCTTCTTGCTTGAACAGTAATACATTGAGAGACATATTATATGTGATGGGATTCAGTGATGCTGAGATTATAGAATTATGCAAATAGAATTTAAAATAAACACACTATTTAACGATACCCTTTACAACGCCCATTACACCGTTAAATAATAATACTTCACTTCCTGGACCTAAATCTTCAGCATGAAGGGTCTGCTCTTCAAGGAAACCTTTCCTTAATAAAAAATGCCTCATAACCCCACATAGACAACCACAGCTTAATTGAGGAGTCACCCATATGTTATCTTCTTTCCTCCTGATTGCGACATTAGAGATGGACCCTTCCATTAGATGCCCTTGAGTATTTACTAGCAAAACTTCCTCTTTTCCCGGCTTCTTTCCAGGTAGACACCTTTCTCTGGCTTTATTATAAGCATCCCGATTGGTGGTTTTAAAAGACGTGAACGGGGAGACCAAACAAGGTTCCAGATCAATAAACACATCCCAAATTTGGTCACTAGAAGTCTCATTAAAACCGTCCAAGAGATTGTTCCTATATGTGGTTTCATAAATCTCTATATTGACCTGACCCTCTAAAGACACCAATAGCCTTATCTTCATCGGTTCGTAAACCTGCTTCTTAGATTCCCTAATGGCTTCTGTTAGCTTGTTCCACAAAAAATCATAAGGAATGTCAAATTCTAGACTAGTAGATCCGTTAAGTTGTAATTGAAAGTATTGCAAAGTAAATACCAAACGATGATAATGTTCATCAAAGAGAAAGAAGTTCTCTTTCGTAATATCGTTAACTGTCACTGGTGGAACAGTTGTCAATTTGGGATCATATCTCATTGTAGATAAAATTTCAAAGTCTTTATCTTTCAAGTTGAACAATTGATCAACATATTTCTCTTGAATTTCACTCGCCAATGTGTCATAATACTCAGAGTCGTATAATGTGGGAGCAACTCTACCAGACCTCGGTGCCATTATGTTTTAAATGTGGTATATTTTAATATTTCAGGATGAAAAATTGCGAATTTTATACTATGAATATCATTATTAATACTTAATCTATATGCAAAAATTACCATTAATAAGGTCTGAATCTTTTCTTTTCCTTCATCAGCCTAACCCTTTCTTGATCTTCTTTAAATTTTTTTAACAAGTCATTCATTTCTTCCTTTTTGCGCTCCCTTAATTGAAATCTATAGAAGTCTGCTTTCTCCTTCTTTTTCAACTTATCAGCGGCTCTAGTTACCTCCACAGTTGCAGCCAATTTCTGCTTACCCATTATTCCAGCTTTTGTCTTTCTATGTGATCCAACAACCAATGTGAAACCATCTTCATCAACAACCTGCGCCTGCTGCTGCAACTGATCATAAGAATCTCTTTCTGCATTATCAAAAGACTCTAATGCATCCGAGACACTCTGAGCCAATAACGCATTATCTAAAACTTGAGCTTGGTACTTTTTCAAATAGAAGATCAGCCCAAAAGGCCCTTCTAATGGCCAATTTGCTTGCATGGAGGCGGAGGCAAGTTTTTTTAAGGAGTTCAAGGCAAGAAGAAAAGCAGACTTATCCACAAATGTTACAATACCACAGTTCTTGGGTATTTTTAATCTCAACTCATGCGAGTTATCATGTTGTTGTAAGTCCAAGCCAGTTGTAAGTCTTCCTAAGTCCAACCACAGATCCTCTTCGCAATCTGAAAGAAAACTTGGAGTGAAAGATTCAATCGTTGACCCAATAGCAATCTCTTGAAAAAATTTCTTCATCACTGTAGCCGTCGTACAGACTGGTAAATTAAAGAAGAATATTGAACGACCACCTGAACTCTCATTTTTTTCACTGCTCCTTACATCGTGTTTCTTAAAAAAAAGATAATGTAGAGACTCACATTCTGCAAGTTTCACAGGTAAAACTTCAAAGCCTCTGATGCCCTTTATAGCCATCGTAGCCGTATTTAGTTTAGTAATAGAGATTGAGCATCTATTAGGGACTCAAATCGATGAAAGTTCATAAGATGAGCTTACATGATACATACACGACTTCAGATTTGATTTCACCTCTTTACTTATAGAACATTGGCAACACAATATTATGGGAAATCTCTATAAAAGTTCTTGGTAGAATCCTTAGAAATACAGCAGTCGTAGCTGGAAGTAATTGCAATGCTTCAAAGCTATTTTTGGGAACAAGAATGCTGGAAACCACTTCGAAGTTGGTAAGTCTCATAGTAGAATTATAACCCCCAAATAACAGAGATTAGAATTGAAAATCTGGGCTACTCATTGAAGAGGCACCCCAAAATGACCGAAGATCCCTGCTAGGTTCTTTCTGGCATGTTGATGCAATTTTTTCAATCATTTAGGTTATACTTGCTTTTGTGTTCTTTTAGTAAACAGGCTATCAAAAATTTTTCAGTCTAACAAAGGTTACAATAAATACTTAAAAGGAAGATAGAGCGGAGGGGAGAATTCAGCTAGACTTCATCATTTAGGAAATGGATAAGGATATATTGCTCAAATCACTAGCAGGAACTCTAGATTCTGACTTGCAAGTCAGAAAGCAGAGTGAGAGACAGTTGGATGTCTTTGGACTGCAACCCGGATTCACCGCTTATTTACTAGATTTAATAGTAGAACTGAATGTTCTGCTTGGAGTACAAATATCTGCAGCTATCTTTTTCAAGAATAGAGTTGTAAACCATTGGTCGGTACCCGAGAACAAGACTGCAAGCCCTTTCACGATCCAAGAGAACGAAAAGCAAGCAATTAAAGAAAGATTAATCCAAACATTAATAAAAACTCACAAAATTACCCAGCTTAGGCTACAGTTGGCTACAGCAGTTCATAACATACTTTCATCTGAAAAATGGGAGCAGCTTACAGGAATTATCAAGGAATTGTTGCAAGGAAATAGCGATCAAGTCTACACGGGGTTACTTTGCTTATTTGAATATACTAAAAATTATAGGTGGACAGGCTTGGAAACTGCAAACTCTAGTAATCCAGTGTTGGAAGAAATCACAGAGGAGATTTTCCCATTGTTGGAAACTTTAACCACAAACTTAATAAATAGTGATGCAACGGAAAGTGATGAAATGCTTTACTTAATTATCAAAATCTTCAAATTTACGACATTTTCTTCCTTGCCAAAATATTTTCAGGACCCTTCAAAACTTGGAACCTGGTGTGAATTACAAATATTGCTCATTAATAAGCCCTTGCCGCAAAGTATTCTTAATGAAGATTCTGATGAAATCAGATCAGCTCTGCCCCGGGTCAAGACTGTTAAATGGTGCTTTGGGAATTTACATAGACTACTTAGCCGTCACGGTGGCGGGTTTAGCACCAGAGATAAAGAAAATAACCAATTTGCGAAATACTTCTTAGAGAATTTCGTTCCAGAAATTCTAAATGTATACTGGAAAATAATTGAGAAGTGGTCTACTAAAGAGGTTTGGTTAAGTGAGGGCTCTCTTTATCACATGATATCTTTCTTGGAGCAGTTGATTGATACACCTGATTGGCAATTAATCAACGATAAGTTGGATGCTATTATCAAACATCTTATTTTGCCTACTCTCAGTGCCTCCGAAGACACCATAGAGCTATATGATGATGATCAGGAAGAGTATATAAGGAGGTTTTTTGATATTAACAGGGAAAGCAATACTGCAGACGTCGCTTCCATCAATTTTATTTTTAGATTGTCAACCAAAAAATTTAAGGCCACTATCAATCTGGTTTTAGGAATTATTAACGATATATTTCTCAGAAGGGCCGCAAACCGCAATATGGTTTCTGGTGCGATGGAGACAGAGGGTGCATTCAGAATATTATCTACGATATCCTACAAATTAGATAAGAAGTCATCTCCACTTCAAGGCAAAATTGATCAACTTCTTCATACTTATGTGTACCCTGAATTACTGGATGAAACTATTTCCACCACTCCATGGCTCACAGCAAGGGCATGTGATACGTTAGCCATGTTCGTATACAAGTACCAGGATCAAAAGGTTCTTGAAGATATATTTCAAGGAGTTGTAAAATGCTTTCAAAACCAGGATCAATTTCCAATTCAACTAACCGCCGTGGATGCTTTACGTACTTTAATAAGCGAGGACTTAGTTGCTGAACATATTGCAGATCAAGTGCCCCATTTGATGGGAACTTTGTTGGAAATGTCGAAGAAGATGGAGAGTGATATATTAACTAGTGTGATGGACTCTTTTGTCGAAAAGTTCTCCAAGAACTTGGAGCCTTATGCTCAAGAATTGTCTTCAAGATTAGCAGATCAGTTCATGGCTATCGCATCTGATCTCTTGGATAAGCAGTCTGGCGATGAGTCAAACATCGACGTTGATAAGGAATTCCAAGCAGCAGGAATATTAAATAGTCTAACTACATTGGTCATTTCCATGAATTCTTCTCCACATGTCGCCCAGTCACTTGAACCCGTTATTCAAAATATGATCAAATTTATATTAGAGAATGCAATGGTTTCATTCTTAACCGAAGCGATCGAAATATTAGAGTCAATTTTATTCAGCACGCAAAATGTGTCTTCGTCGATGTGGGACATGTTCCAGACATGCTTAGAATCTTTTGATACTTATGCGTATGAATATTTCGATAATTTTCAACCTTTTTTTGAAAGCATCATTAATCATGGTTTCACAAAAAATGCAGTAACTATAGAATCCCCTCAGGTCCAATCATTGTTGACAATATGCTTCAATATTTTAAAAAGCGATTCTTTAGACCCAATTTTTGCTCATAGCTCGTTCGAATTGATTGAGTTAATTGTACTTGCATTGAACAATAGGTTTGTTTCATTTTTACCAACCTTTTTGCCTGAAATCTTTGATGTATTTATTAGCTTAGAAAGTCAGGATGCTTTCGATGGGTACATGCTACATCATTTGTCTATTTTGAGGGTATTATTCGCTTGCATATACATTGATCCTTTGACAACATTGCAACTTTTGTCAGAAAAACAGTTCATCTCAAGTTTTTACAAATTATGGTTGCAATATTCGGGAGATTTTCAAAGTGTCTACGGTTGCAAGATACAGATATTATCTATTCTTTCAATTTTGAATGGAGAAGCCATTTCTTTAGTTCCTCAAGATTTAGTAAGCGAGACAGTCGATTTATTAATTTCTAATCTTGAGGCCCTTCCAGGTGCGGTGAAGGCCAGAAATGAAATTTTGTCTCAGGAGCATGGGTTGAAGCAAGCTTTGGGATCAGATAATGCGGAAGATGACGACGATGACGAATACAATTCTGCATACTTTGAAGAGGAAGATTTTGAAGCTGATGAAGCAGAATTGGAAGCCATGAAGCAAACACCAATAGATAACATAAATGTGTTTGAGGTTTTCGCCACTTACATAGTTGCATTGCAGCAGCAAGATCCAGCAAGATATCAAGCTCTATTTGGATCTTTGGATCAGACTCAGCAAGAGCTCATTACCCAAATAGTTAGTGTAGCACAACAACAGCAAGCTCAAAAATAAAGAGCAGTCTGAGAAACCTTTGTATAATCACCTTTTTTGAAAGTATATCATCCTACTATATCAAATGGCATTTTATAGACTATTATATCGAACATTCTCCATATAATTTTTTGAAATCAATTAGTTACACAAAAGTGTGAGATACTTTGTGCATCATTGAAGTGGCAAAGATGTAAGTTCATTAACTTTATTCAATTGATGTAACAAAGGCAGAATGTTCTCAGGATTCGGAGCATCTGTATTTGGAGCTCCATCATTTGGAGCTCCTATCAACAACAAGTTCGAAGACTATTTCAGATGTTATCCTATTTCGATGATGCCTGATCAGATCAGGAAAGATGATGCTAATTATGGAGGTAAAATTTTTCTACCCTCTTCTGCATTGAATAAGCTCACAATGCTACACATTAGATATCCAATGTTGTTTGAGCTTACGAGTGAAGCGACAGACATAACGACGCACAGCGGTGTCTTAGAATTTGTTGCAGAAGAAGGGAGGGCTTATCTCCCTCAATGGATGATGTCTACTCTTAAGATATCGCCGGGCCAGATATTAAGAATAGGGAATTGTGACCTACCTCTAGGCAGTTTTGTGAAGATAGAGCCTCAATCTGTTGACTTTCTTGAAATATCTGACCCAAAGGCTGTCTTAGAAAATGCCTTGCGAAAGTTTTCAACTTTAACAGTTAATGACATAATCGAAATCAATTATAATAATACCGTGTTTCGGATCAAAGTTCTTGAAACTAAACCAGAATCACCGGGAAAAGGAATATGTGTGGTAGAAACTGATCTTGAAACTGATTTTGCCCCACCAGTAGGCTACGTTGAGCCAGAATACAAACCGAAAGTGACGAAGCCGACAAATTCACCAATTGACCCTTCATCAGTAAGAAAAAGTGCAGGTGCAGGGACCATGGCCAAATCTTTAAATTATGCCAACCTTGTGGACAGTGCATCAAATTCTCAACAAGCATTTAAAGGATCGGGCCAGAAGCTTTCAGGGAAACCAATGGAAGAGCCAAAAAGTGAAATATCAATAGATGATTTAGATCCAGATGCGCCTCCTGTTCCTTTGATACTACCAAGTAATCAATTATTTTTCGGATTTCCAGTAAGCTTGCCTACACCGGAGGAAGAAAATGATAATACGAAAGACGAACAGAGCGCATTCAGCGGCAGCGGTCAATCCCTAAGACAAAGTAAAAAGAGAAAAGATAAAAGCAATAACAATTTCCCTTCACTAAAGAACTACTCAAGGAGTCCAGAGTTCATTGAAATTGACTGAATATTAAGTAGGGAGCGCATTATATTATTTTTCTTTAGGGAACAGATCAACTACTCATTTTAAATATTAAAGTAGGCATTACATACGGTCAGATTATAAAATATCATAGGGTTTATCATCTTAAACAGAATCTATTATATACTCCAACGAAAATTCAAGTCACGTCTTACTTGAAGGAATGAATACATCATTTCCTTGTTCAAGTGCTTTCTTGGTGTGGTATACAATATCATTTGATTCCCATGGATAAGCGATCCAACAATCTGGAGTAGTTCTTGCTGCGAAATAGTTTCCTGTCTTCATGATTTCATCAGGTAATGTTGCTCTCTTCTTCTTGTTCTTATCATGCAATACAAATATTCCAAATTTAGTATCCTTAGGATCTGCATTTTTAGCTTTGGCTTGCTCTTCAACATCTTTTTTTAACTCAGATACAGCATAATGTAATGTAGTCCTTGTATCATCAACTTCATCAATAATAAGGATATTCTTACCGACTAGATCAACTTTTGATTGAGCATAGTCTAGCCACTGGGTACGAACGACTTTAGTACCAGGCTCTTCTACCAGATTTCCTACAGTGCCAAGATCTTCATATAACGACAAGATAATCGCCATGATCCTCACATTCGGCTTGCCAGGCTCTTTCAAAAAAGTTCTCAACATCCTAGCAGGTATGAAGCCACCACCACCAATAGCAATAATCAAGTCAGGGTTAAACTTTTTAATTTTATCAGCAGCCTCCTGACACAATTGATGGATGTTGTTGTACGATATGTACATTTTTGAATTTTCTGTGTCGTCACTCATAGTATCTAAACGTTTACTTCTCCGATAAAGAAATGCACAGAGGATGAGCCAGAGTATACTCTCCCAAATTAGAAACACTCTTTTGCCGTCTAGGAGACTTCTGCTGCGATATATATATTGTCAATATATCTTCGGCCATGCTCGCGGAAGGAAAAAAAATTTCCTACAATATTTAGTACACCACAGCGCCCTATTGGTTGACACGCTCTTTTTGATGAATGAAATGCCTGCCTTTTCCTTCGCTCATCTACGATACAAAGCTGTAAGTATATTTGAGGAAACTTCTTCTGAACTCCGGAAACACCAGGCTATCTGCGAGAATTTCAATGCCCTTCCGCGGTACGTCCGACTCACTGAAGGGTACAGAAACGATGCCTTCGAATATCACGTGATGTAGATTTGGCCATTCTGCTTAACATTCGGTGTTACTATCACTGTGTGCGCGTGTTCGACCCCATGATTCCTAACAATCAGTCTCGAGACGCTAAGAACAGCGTGGAATTTTTTCTCATCTTTGATTCAAGTCTATTTAGTAAGATAACATATTTCGCCAGCAATTCATTAGAAACAATAGGTATCAAAGGATCTTCCTTGAATAATAATGAAGCTGTTCTTATTGCTCTTCGCCTGTTTCCTTGCGTTCTCCCAGGCCGCAATTTTAGGAATAGATTTTGGTCATAAGTACACCAAAAGCGTTTTGTTGGCACAAGGAATCCCATTTGACATACTATTGACAGGAGAGGGAAAGAGAAAAGATTTGTCAGGACTTTGTATTCGTCCCCAAAATGGAGATGACATAGAAAGAGTCTTTGGTTCCAATATGGGATCGCTCACCACAAGATTTCCTGGAAATTGCGTCGTCGATCTTAAGATGCTAATTGGAAGATCTATCGATGACCCCCAGTGTGAAAAGTTTATCGAAAGGTATCCTGCGCTCAAATTAGTTCCGGATATGTCTCGAAATAACTCTGTCAAGGTTGACTTTGAGCTCGGCAATCAATCCTACATTTTTTCAGTTGAAGAGTTATTAGCAATGCAGTTGAATATTGTTAAGCAAAGGGCGGCAATGGCACTAAAACAAAGCGATTCCGTTGTTTCAATTGCAGAAGATGTAGCTATATCCGTCCCTCCTTTTGCAAATTGGGAGACAAGACAAGGTTATTTGGATGCTATTCATTTAGCGAATTTTTCCAGCTTTGTAGGATTAATTGATGAAGGAACAGCCGTTGCGTCAAATTTCTTGGTTAACAGGATTATTGGCGAAGCAGATGAAGGAAAGGAGTATCATTTGATTTTTGATATGGGATCAGGATCTACTGTCGCTACTCTATTTTCTGTAACACCGTTTAAGAACAAAACAATTGAACTAGACATGCTTAACGTAGGATATGATGAATTTTTAGGTGGTGACGTGTTTACCGACTCAGTCGATTCCATCATAAAAAAGAAGCTTTTAGAAAGTTTTAATATCGATCTGTCTGAACTTACTACCAAGATATCAGCAAGGATCAGAGAAACAGCTGAGAAGGCTACTACTATTTTATCTGCAAATTCTGAGTATCAGATTTCTCTTGAATCGATTTACGATGACCAGGATTTTAGGGCCAAAGTAACTCGTGAAGAATTCGAAAAGGTTAATGAAGATATTATCTTTAGAATTACGAAGCCTGTTTTAGACGCTCTCAGTGGATTTCAGATCAACAATTTAAAATCTGTTATTTTAAATGGTGGATCAACAAGAGTTCCATTTGTTCAGAAGCATCTTGCTGCTTTAGTAGGTGACGACAAGATTTCCAAAACCGTCAATACCGACGAAAGTTGCGCTCTAGGCACCACATTGAGAGCTTACACTTTAAAAACTGGAAACTCTAATGTTGATTTAAAAGACAGAATATATCATAACTATGAACTATCCATCAATGGCGATCCAAAGATTGGATTATTCGAAAAAGGATCTCTTGCTGGCACAAATAAAAGACTTAGATTGGGCCAACTAAAAGACGAATACATAGTTGATCTCTATGAGGATGGTGAGTTGCTCCACAGTTATAAATTTGAAAATGTATTGAAGAAGGCGAATAAATTGAGATGCGAAAGCATTGACTTCTTTCTGCTGTTTAACTTAGATTACAATAAGATGCCTAGGTTACTAGCTTCTGAAGTCATATGCTCAAAGGATTCGAAAAAGACTGAAAAGAAGGGCATTTTCAAGAATCTATTAAAGGACAAAAAAGTTTCCGATGATGATTCTTCGACTGGAACGGATCAGTCTGCGACTGATACTTTAGATACCGAAACTGCATTAAACAACACAAATTCTACGAGGAAGCATTACTTTTCTCATGGCGTTCCTATCTATGTAAGTAACCCTGATCCTCATTTTGCTAGAGTAAATCCAATTTCGAATGATGGAAAGAGACTGAGCTTAGATAAATTATCATATCTTAATTTGAAAGATAGTTTGAAAGCTGAGCTTGACCACGAAAAAAATGTATTGGAAAGTAAATGTTACGACTTACGGACTTTTATTGATAATAACGAAAAAGCTATGGAAAAAGAAGGAATCGAAACTTCCAAATATACTTCTTTTGTAAACGATGTTATTGAGTGGTTAGATTTTGAAAGTGATGACTCTTCTATCCAGGATGTAAAGAACAAAATTACCAAAGTGCGATCGATGCAAAAAGAGTTGAACGACTTTTTAGAAATGTCATGGACTGATTTATCTTTCGACAACTTAAAAAAATTATACTCAGAGGGGACATCAAAATTAATGAAGGTGCAGTCTTTTTTCATGGACGCTGGTGATGAAATTAGTAATTTACGAAAACGATATGAAGAAGAGGGTTTTAATTTTGATAAGTTACACGATAAACTTAAACTTGAATCGTTAAAAAATTCAAAGTTACTTGAAATAGATTCCACGATTTCAAAAGTTAGAAAGACTTTTGATGACTTTGCAAAATTCACTGAAAAGCCGAAGAAGCTCGAAAGTTTAAGCAGGCAAAAGATTTTTGGATATTTCACGGCTTTGTCAAATGGTCTTAAGAGCATAGAAGAAGGTTTTGAAGCCTTAGAAAAGAGCCATCGAGAGCGCCTCACTAGTTTGCAAACTAAGTTTGAAAGTATGCTCAAAAAGAAAATTCGTGAAGCTGAGAGAAAGAAGTCGAGAGAAGAGCGAAAAGCTGCTCAAAGAGCCGAAAAGGAAGCTTCGGAGAGAGAAAATAGTGATATTACAGCAACTTTCATTGAAGAGGATGCCGACGACAGCTCAGAAACAGTAGGGACTTCAAGTTCCAATCTTCACGAAACATCTTCTTCTTTCGAGCATGACGAGTTATGATATCTTCGTATTTCTACATAACTTTCTGTTCATATAAAAAATGCGAACTAACTAATACATACATTAATTTCTGAATAGTTGCGACAAAATTTTAAATTTTTGTAAAATAAAAAAACTCTATAATATAAAATCCATTGTTCCGGAATATCTTAAAGAAGATATATCAACATTATCAGAACCCTTCATGAGTCTGAATCGTGAGTTTTCAATATTAATTCAGCAAATTGTAAGTTTCACTTACTGAGTACTAATACTAACTTAGTTTAGGATACGATCAAAAGGCGTGGTCGCAAGGAGTTAATGAAAATGGTAAAAGGCTGGATCGTTATCGCAGAGGAGAAGATCAAAGGGATGACTTTTCCAGAACATCTCCTTACGAAGAGACAGGTAAATATAAACCCTTGCTGAGAAATAACTATGGAAGAAGAGATGATGATCGTATCTATAGGAATCAAAACAGATATGGCAGAATGCAGTCAGACTTTAATCAAAGCAGAGATAGTGGTTTAGGGATAAGAGGAAATGAAAATGCTAATTGGGAAACCTTCAATTCATATACTTCTCGAAGGGATAATTATGGTAGTCAATCAGTAGGTACTAGAGGATATGCATATAGAAATAGGGCAAGGGGAGATTTTCAAAAGCCTGTAAGTAGGCTTCAGAAGTCAAATGAACCTGAACTTACGAGCGAGGAAAGAAAGTTGAAAATCGAGAAACGATTAAAAGATCTTGAAAACGTCGAACCTATAGAGGCTGTTAGGATAACGGAGTCGCAATGGAGTGTAAAACCGAAAGGTTTTGAAGACGTCTCGGCACAAAGAGCAAAACTAAGTGGTCTTTTTCCTCTCCCTGGCTATCCCAGACCAGTCGATTTCACAAAGCTTGAAGGGGTCGTAAAAGATAGATTGTTGAACAATATGGACATACTTAAGGAGGATTCTAGGATTGACCCTATCGATTCTAGAATGTCGAAAACAATTTTAGTGAAGAATAATTTCGAGAAGATAAGTTACTTCAAAGTGGTTGAATATTTGAATAATTTTTTAAGGAAGGTAGATGTCAAGGAAAGAGAAGTTCAATGTGTCGAAAATAAGCGCAAATCGACTGATGACCAATTGATGGTTTTGGAATTCAAACACAGCGTGTTTGCGACCATAGTATTGGCGCTCAATGAATTGCAGTTGCCTCTTTCGCTTTTTGAAGAAGAGTCGAACTCGTTGGATAATAATGGAGAGGTTGTTTTACTTCATTTGGAAAGACCTCAAGAATATATTGTCCAAGCACTCCCTAAATATGACTCGAAACCTGATGAGATAGAAAGTGAGGTTAAAGATAGCCCTAGGAAAATTACGATCCTTGTATCTAATGATAATCTGGAATCATCAATGGTTGAAATGCTTCAGGAGATTTGTCCTTTGAAGGGATTTAAATTACTTAGAGAGGTGGGAACCAAACAGTCATTGGGAATCGCTTTTATTGAATTCTATATCGATCCAAAGTTACCAAATACTGAAACAATTTTAGAATTGCAATCATTAATAGAGAATTTAAAAGAGAAGGAATGGATTAAAAATGCATTTTTTTCTTGTATCTCGCCAGACAAAACTAGCATACAAGAATGCCAAACAGACTTTAGTAGCTTGAGAGCTCTAGTAAAAAATGAGTTCGTAACTGCTCACCCCAAACTGAGAGTAATACAACTTATCAATCTTGTAACTGCAAAAGATTTGATTGATGATTTGAACTTCAAATTTATAGAAGAAGACGTAAGGTCAGAACTCTCCAAATTTGGTCAAATTGTATCAATAAGGATACCAAGGCCTGCAAATGATTACACTCCTGGGTTGACTCAATTTATACAGCCTGGACTAGGTAAAATATTCGTTGAATTTGAACACGATGAAGCTGCCTTGAATGCAATAATGGGGACAGCAGGACGTAATTTCAATGACAGAACTGTAATATGCGCATATTATGACTATGACGATTATAGACACGGAATACTTTAAAGCTTATGTTCCATTACAAAAAGTTTTAATTCATTGGGGACATTTTCATCAAAGCCATGTCTAGATATCATATCATATAAGGGTCGTGGAAGTTCTGGGATAAAGCTCAAGCTGAGCTTTATTATTTCGTTTTCCTCAAGATTAGGAAAGTTACGTAAAATTTTCATCGGTTGTGGTGAATCTAAAAGAACTGATCTGTTCACAACTAATTGGGCTACCACAAATAAAATGTTCATGTGTGTACCATATGCTAACAAAATGTCCCAAAGTCTCAAAAGTGACTTCAACGGTGGTGTACAAGCACATAATGTCAATACAGATGGGAAAGCATATATTTCCGTTTTTAGGAATTTGGAATCTAAGTAGTCGCTCAAAACAGGATCAATAATTTTTAGAACCATGCTCACCAAGCTCAAACCAGTGTGAACGCCATCTAAACTTGGTGTTATGTATAGTGGTATTTGTTTGGTTATAATGTGATGTAATATCGCAAATGCCTGCGGTTCATTCTTATGAAAGGCATATGCAATTGGTGCCAATAGCACGTTTAGCCCCTGAACATATCCTACTTTATTTGTAGTAATAGCAATACATGATAAGATTCGTACCAACGCATCTTCGCTTACTTTCAGGTGAAAACTCTGATCATTCATTAAAGTCCTAAATGTGTCATTCTTAATCTTCAAATACAAATCAGAACCCAATGAATGTTGTACCTCATCTAATAACCTTAGATATTGGCTAGTAGGAAATGTAGGTACTCTGCAAAGAATGGACCATACATATGGTCTGTAAGGACACTGATCATAACCATCTGGCGTAGATAATCCCTCTATCAAGATCATGTACCTTAATTGAGACAAACTGTTACCTAAAAAAAGCTGAGGAGACCCAATAAACAGTTCAATAGAATCTTTCTTTCTTCCTTTAAGATATCTTTGGTTTTCAATCATAATTCTTCAAATATAAAGCAGCTTCCTAGTATTATGAAAGCTGATATCGAATGTTTACTTTTGAAGGTCAAACTGCATTTTGTGTTTTATGGTGCAGGTTAAGCTTTTTTTCAATTTACCTGATCGCAATTAAGTTTAATCAAGGGAAGACCAAAGAAAAATATAAGAGAAAGAATGATGTTTGGATTGGGAAAGCTTTTATACTTTTTACTCTTGTCGGTGAATGGTATCGCTGTTCTCAGCGAGGACAGATTTTTGAATCGAATAGGTTGGGGGGCGACTTCAAATAATAATGCACAATATCAACAATTCACGCCTGCAGTGGACTCAGGAGAGGGTCAGTCCATCAAGGGTAACTTGATCAATTTAATAAGCGCCGTAAGAACATTGCTAAGATGGCCTTTGATTTTGGTTAATATATTAATAATAATCTATGAATTGATTTTAGGTTAATTACGGCCGCTAACAAGCATAAAACTAACTGACCAACAAGCCAGACCACAACCCTAGATTCGAATTTTGTTCAGCTAGTGTACATAATATATTTACAAAATAAATACTATAATTACGCAAGAAATGAAATAATTATTAAGAGGTTAGGCAAATGGTATTAATGACGTGTCGCGACGAGGCTGGTATTGATCTATAGTGGCTCATTTTTGATCTCACTAGTAGGGCTGCTAGCACTATTACTCTGTAAGCGGTCTCTTGACTTTTTGAACAATTCCTCCTGCTGTTTTAGCAACTCTTCTTCAGTCAAACCAGAATTTTGAAATTTATTATTTTTCTTTTCCCTACCTTTCAATAGTTCTTTGTGTTCATCCAAAATTCTGTTGATTATTTCTAGGTAATTATGAAATCCTAACTCTTCTAGAGCCTTAACAACGTGATCAGAAGCAATTGTTTTCTTGGCTTCTTTTTCAGCAATATCATTCAGTTGTGTTGATAGTATCATTATAAATTCGATACTACACTCAGTTATCGCCTCTCGGGCTTCTTTCGAGATCGCTATGTCTTTTGGTAGTATTTCTCCTATAATCTTTTGAACTGTGGCCTTAGGCAATGACAAGTCATCTCCACCGCTAGAGTTGGAGTATTCTGACATATTAGATAATACAAGATTCGATAGCTCCTAATTTCAAAATATTGGCCAAGTCTTATAAATCATATGTTGTATGAAGGAAAAGATAACCATCACCGAAATTCGAGGTTTTCAAGTCCCTTTATATATTTCATTGCATGGAAGCAGCCGATTACATAATCAAATAAATAATAGCATCTCATCTTGTACTCTTCTGAATGAGATTGTTAAAGCGACTGTCGATAAGATGTTGAAGTATGAGGTATGATAGGATTTTTGTTGTATTACATATTACCCTACAGCTTGATGAAGTCTATAAATTCTTCTATAAACTTATGCGGCATCTCAGACACAATCCAGTGGCCAGACTTGAATGTTGTTTTGCGATTATTTGGAAAGAATTCATTGAAAGATGATATAGATTCTTCATTAATAAAATTAGATCCAGTAGCTTCCATAATTAATACTGGCTTGCTAAATGTTTTCCCAATAACAGCACCCAGTGGCCAATCGCCTATCTCTGTAATTACGTCATCTTTGAGGAGATTCAAAACGGGGACATCAAACAAGGTAGATCTCTTAGTGGCTCTTTTCTCAATATTGGAGGTCAAAAAAAATCGAACTTTACGATCTTTTTCATATTTACTGAGTTCCTTATCGATGTAACTTGTACGCAATGGTGAAATCGGTTCCTTGTAATAACTTGAAAATGTACGCTCTACCAGACACATACCTAGTAAGTCGAGTGTGAAGTTTTTTTCGAGAGGTTGTGATACTGGACTGTTATCTATAACGACTAGCTTAGATACAAGGTCGGGCCGTAACAACGCAACTAACATTGCTACCTTTGCTCCCATAGAGTGTCCAGCTAAGATTGTATCTTTCCATTGTCTGACTTCCAATGAATTGATCACGTCTCTTACCATTGACAAGTAATCAATTGGTGCCACATTAGCAGTTTTGCCATGGTTTCTCAAGTCAACTCCTCCTGCAAAATGCCGGGTTCGTTCTGTAATTTTTTTTCCAACAGACCTAAAGTTTCTACTAGAACCAAATAACCCGTGAAGCATTAAAATAGGACTCAATCTATTGTCCACGGGATGTGTTACCAGTGGATTATATTGTTGGAAGTGGAGCGGAGTAACATCTTTTAGTAACAAAGGCTCTACGTGATCTAACTGTAAGTATTTCTCAATTTGATTTCTGTCAAGGTCTCCTAAGTATGGGACGTGCGAAAGTACCCGACTAAAAAAACTAGATCTTACTTTGGTTGGAACTGATATGGCAACCTGTGTTTTCGAATATAATATCAACATCAGTATAGGTCAATCATATGGAGATCTCTAAAAAGTATAGTTCCGGTCGGAAAAAAAAATATTAAAATATTGTTTTATCTACAAGTAAGCTAATCAGTCAAGTATTTCACTACTTAAAAATTTTGTAACGCTACAAAGGGATTGAGATCATAACATATTTCCTTTGAAAGATCATTAAATGTTTGAACTAATACCAACCACGGTATTGAGAGTTATCTTGGTAGCCACCGTACTGAGGATATTGTTGATATCCAGCATACTGGGGAATAACTGGCTGCTGTGGTAGCTGCTGTTGGGCAGATTGACTTTGGTTTTGCTGAACCTGTGAATTGCCAGAGGTTTCCGTAGATTCAGCATTAGAGTTTCCTGTAGAAGGAGGATGTGCCTGATTTTGTTGTTGACCTTGTTGGGGAAAACCATTGTATCCAGGGTACCTGTTGTTAAATTGATTCGGCTGACCATAGTACTGAGAAGCATTCGAGTTGGATGCACCTCCTACGAGACCATTACCCGTAGGATTTGCTTGCGGGGCAGGCTGTCCATTAGCAGTTTGAACACCAGAAGAATTTGCGAAACCGCTCTGAGCACCTCCAACCCCGGCTCCATTACCGTAAAATGGAGTATTATAATAATAATTATAATATGGATAGGCAAAAGGTGCCGTAGGAACTTGTTGTTGCAAAGTGGTTTGATTTACCACAGGCGATTGATTCGATTCTTGGACATTAGTTGCTTGAGGTTGTGATGTTGGCTGCGCGTATTGTCCATAAGCAGTAGTAGAAACAGAAGCAGCTGGTGAAGCGATTCCGGTGGCGGGATTATAATTGGAATAATCGATTCCTGGGTAGCCACCAAATTGGGAACCTGGTAAAGTCTGAGCAGACTGTTGAGGATATTGTTGAGCTTGTTGAAATTGGTTGTAGTAGTCGTATTGCAGAGGCTGCTTAGCTTGATTGTATTGCTGCTGAGGCTGTTGTTGATAAACATGTTGATTGTAACGGTTTTGATTGTTATAGATCCCGAGCCTTTGTTGTTGTTGTTGCTGTTGTTGTTGCTGCTGTTGTTGTTGCTGTTGTTGTTGTTGCTGTTGTTGTTGCTGTTGTTGTTGTTGTTGTTGTTGCGAATGTTGTGAATTTTGAGAAGATATCAGTTGATCTGCTTGAGTACCGACTGGAACAACATCGTCTTCTTTCTCTGCTTTAAGTTCTTGTTCTTCGTCACCCAAAGCCAAAGACCCAAAAGAAACACCAATGGAATTGATTTGCTGTGAAGTTGGAGGTAATATGACACCTGGTTGAGCATTTTGTTCGGAAGAAACAAGAGAAGGTTCAACGGTCACAACTTCCGTTTTCGTAGTTTCAATTTCATTTACAATTTGATCCTGAATTGGCTCTGATGCAGTGTCTCCATCGAGAATGACCTGAACTGTTTCACTAGAGCTCTTTGTTTCGCTTTTGATTTTAGGTTTAGGTGCAATTGCAGTTGCCCAGGAACCTTGCTTTGGCTGAGGCACATCCGCTTCTTTCAAAACTGGTTCTGGTTGAGAAGGTTCTATAGGGACGCTTTCTGACTCTTCGGGATATACTTCCTTCAATTCATCTTCAGGCTGATCCAAAACTTGAAACTCTTCCTTAGCTGGTGCTGCTTTCTGTTTTGCTTTATCGCTAGATAATGCAGCAGCCCAGGAGTTTACTATAGGAATAGCAGATGATGCAGATGATGTACCAGATGAGAGATTCTCAGAAGCTGGATTTTTCTTAGAATGTGCCTGTGATGGGTGTGATCTTTTTTGCGAGCTATGTCTGGATTTATCAAATTTTGGTTTGCTATTCTGTACGTTATTGCTATTGAACTTGCTTGATCTAGAAGTATGCTCGTTATTTCCAGCATTATTCAAAGCTTGCGATGGTGCTATAGAAGCTTCCTCTTCTTTTTCCTTCTTTTTATGCCTGTTGTCTTTCTTGATTGGTTCCCATTTCGACACCTTGTTGTTCACTATCAAGTCAATAGTAAATTCTAATCCATTGTTATTTTCTGCCAATAAAGATTGCAAATCTTCTGCTTCCCAGTCTGGAAACATTTCGACTAGACTTGCTAATTCTGAAGACGAATCATTATTGGACGAACTATTACTATTATGATTAAACCTCTTCAGATGATTTTTATATGATTTTCGTGGTGTTGACATTTTGTTCTTCTTCTTCTCAGGAAGGTTACTATCTATTCGTCTCTATTAGAATATAACCTTAGCTTGATACGAGAACTGCTGGATATTCCACAGATTATAATAGACTTGTACTGAAGTTGAAGAGCTCACTAAAAGTCGTCGAAAAGCATTAGCGAATTTTTGAACTAAGGAATAAGGTCACGCACGACTCTCTTTTAGTGTATACTATACACAGGAAACAGTTATATTAATCGCAGGGTAAGTACAAAGTTAGTGTAAGGCATAATCTAAACTACTTTACATACAAGCAAAATCAGAATTCTAAAATTCTTATTTTAAACTCTACTCAGAGTTTAGTGTGACTCATACTCTAAAACTTTCACTAACTCATCGGACGTCTGAGGTTTACTATTTGTAACCAAGCTAGTGACGACGTTTTTAGCCACAAGGTCAAACAATTTAAATATTAGCCCTTTCAAATTTTTTCCTGTCTGCTTGAAATCAGGACAAGCATTCACTTCTAATAATGTCACTCTGTAGTTATCGCTCACTAATAGATCGATACCAAAGATTTCCAATGCATTGTCTAAAGGTTGGAAATTAATCTTGTCTACTGTGTAGGCAGCATCAAACAAGTCCTTTACGATGTTACAAACTTGATTAAAAATAATATCTTTCTCTTTCGGCCCAATTTTCAAGTCTTTCATATCCCAAAAAGGTACAACCAAAGGGTGCTCGGAGCTTTGTAAACATGTATTTGTCAAATGGCCATTTAAAGATAAAGCCTCTTCACGATCGATCGTTGGACGTGAAAATGGAACATCAGCAAATAAAGATAAAATACCTTTGTAGACAAAAACCAGTATATTACCTTCACAAATGACATAAGTTCTGAGGTGAAATTTCTTATTGGAATAGTTAGACAATAATAATGGATTTTCTAGGTACTCTTGAACTACGAAATGCCGCAACTGAGAGATTATAACTCCATTATTAGATTCAGTAGCCTTATCGTTGAATGAGTCACCACTTGCACATTCTTCATCTGTGCCACCATCATCCTCTTCAAAGGAATCAAATATTTGTTGCAACTGTCCGATTGATTTAAACAATCTTATTCCTTGTCCCTTCTCGCTCATGCTCGGTTTTAGTATCCATGTTTTCTCTCCTAGATTAACTTCTTCTCTCAATTCATAAGCGTCGTCCAAGGCATCATCAAGGAATTCAGCATAATCAACTTCTAACCGATAACTATCAGGAACAGCTCCTATAAGACTAGATTCAGGATGTTTTACAATATACTGATGTATGGTATTCATCAAATAATGTTTTCTTATTAATGCTTTGCGGTAGACATATGATGAGACAAAGTATTTTTGAGGATATTTTTCGAGTAAATCAAACTTAATATCCTCGTATTCACCGTAATGAAAGATTTTAATATTCGAATCAGCTACTTTATTCAAGACATTAAAGTCATTAGAAACTTGAAAGCCGACCTTTGTAAGGCCTTGCATCAATGGCTCAAAAATATACGAATCCACGGAAATTGTTACTAAAGCGATATTTAGATCCCCATTCATTGTTAACAGGTTCATTGGTTCAAGCAAACCTTGATCATCATTTTCATTTAAAATGATTTCACCATGTAGAGGTCCCACCAGACTAAATTGTGCTTTTAATGGAGTAACACTGATCCCTTCTTCAAGTAGAACTCTATTATCTGAGTGAGTCATGTCATCAAGAGCATCCTTATACACTTTTTTGAAATCGGGTTTCCACAAAAATTGCTCCCGACCGGCTTCACTTGATTCCAGCAGAGGTTCATATATCGAGTTCCAGTAATTTTCAAGGATCGGAGTGTAATGTATCTTCGTCGTACGTAAATTTAGTGAAGAAACTAAGGGAACATTCACAGAAAAAAGGTCAATTTCTTTCAGCTTTTGCAATTCTTTATAAAGCTTCTGTATCAACTTCACTGATATCTTCGCTGCCTCCTTTAAGACTCGAAAATTGTGGTCTAAGCTGTTGAAACAGTAGCTCAATGCAATAGATTTAACTCCATGCGTCACTGCCTCCATCGCCGCACCCACAGTTCCACTCGAAAGAATATACAAACTTCCAGAATTCTTTCCAAAATTTGGACCGCTTATAACCAAATCAATTGGCTTACTTTTGCTTTGAGTGTACAAATAATGGACACCCAAATCAGCACAAGCTGCGGGAGTTCCATCAATCAAGCACCACTCTTGATACTCAGATCCGAAGTCTTGCTTTGTCTGAAACGGCCCTTCGAAATTGTTGATATTTGGATTCTCTATCGTTGTAGAGTACTTCGTATAGATATAGCTTGCCGTTAATGTTTTCCCAGCAAAGTGTGCTTTTCCAATCCATGATTTCTGTTCGCTTGGAACAACTATTGATAGATCCCAATCTGTAGTTTCATTTATCTCGTCCACTAAGAATTTAATATAGGGACAGGATAGATCATTGAGAGGTCCATCATCGTTTGTCAATAGCACATGCATTGGGACCTGCTTATTGGAATATTGCTAAGACTAATAGAAGTGGCCCTTTTAAGCACAGCATATCGAGATGG